CTTGGGCAGGGGGTTGGACTAGATGACCTACAAGGTCCAACTCTGATTGTCTGTTATCTGTTACAACCAGGGTGAGATTAATTTTTCAACCCACAGTCTGCCTTCCTTGTTATTCTTTGGATTTCTTAGTCAGGTTTCCGCCGGAGCAAAGACATGCCGAGCTGTCTCAGGGCCTGACTGTGTGTCATCATTTCCCTTTTATTTTATGACAAATCAGCCTGGTTATTAATATTTGTAATGAGTAATGAGTAAGAATAGGGCGTCCCTGGTGGATCCCAGGGGAAACATTTGACTGACACTCTTTCTTTTGAGAAAAAAATTTACGTTGACGTTGGATGTTCCTTTTGCTATTCTTGTAATATTTAAAATGCATCTTCTGCTTCCAAAGGGAACAAATCCTTTGCGAGGTTCTCTCATTCCGTGCAAAGCTGCCTGGAATGACAAGTCTTCTTGCAAAGTTGCCCCATTCTACAGTCGGTGCAGGAAACACTGCAATATGGAAAGAGCCTCTGTAAACAGAACCACTCTAGGAAGTGGGTATCTTATGGGTCATTTGAAAGTATTTTAGCCCTCTCACACTTTTGTTCAAATGGACATCCACCTCCACTCATCTTTATATGGTTTGGCCATTCTTTCCCCCTGGTTTTTCTATTTGTGAGTCCTGCAAAACGGATGGCGAAATGAATGAATGGGTCCAAAATTCTCTAGTCAAGATAAGATCCCCAATCTCTCGTCATCTGGTGACAGGAAGAAAATAAAGTTAATTATCTGATTGAAGAGAATACTTGTAGCTCAAATTTGGACTGTGGGGGTCCTTGGTGAAACTCTGGGCTTGCTGTTTTTCTGAAGACGTTTCATTACCCAGCTAGGTAACATCATCAGTGCTAGAAGAGAGTGGGGTTGAGGAGGAGGAGGAGGAGGAAAGGAGGAGGAGGAGGAGGAAAGGAGGAGGAGGAGGAGATAGTGGGATCTTTGTGGCTCTCTGAACTTGATGCTTTCCTTGCAGACATTTCATTACCCAACTAGGTAACATCATCCGTGCTAGAAGGGAACGCTGCAGAGACAAACACCACACCCTTCTAACATTGATGATGTTACCTAGTTGGGTAACGAAACATCTGCAAGAAAATAGTCAAGCTCAGAGAGCACCAAGGACCCCACCGTCCTCCTCCTCCTTCACCCTCTTCCTTTTCCTTCCTCCTCCTCCTCCATTCCACAACCCCCACTCCCTCTAGCACTGATGACATTACCTAGTTGGGTCATGAAACATCTGCAAGAAAACAGTCAACCTCAGAGTGCACCAAGGACCCCACATCTATCTAGATCAGAGCTACGGATGACTCAAAGCAGCCATTGGGTTTAAAATCGATATCAGGCATGGAAGCGCTGATGTTCCTCCGTTTTTCCCCCCTGCCAGAAAAACCCACAGACGGTGCGGCAGGCGGAGGAGATCCGTGCACTCGAACACTTGAGTATGGACGTGACTGTCAATTTCAGCAAAGGGGCCCAGCTTAGCTCTCACATCTACAACATCTGTTCAGAGGCCAAGGAGACCATCTACAGTCGAGAAGAAGATGTGAAGTTCTGGATGGAGAAAGGTAAGGAAGCACTTCAATCATCAGGAGACGGAGTTTATGGTCCCTCCACCCCATAATGCCTCCCATGTGGGGATAATGCCAGCTGACCATCAAATATTTGCTTCAAAGGGGGAAAATATTTGATTGTCTGCTATATTTTCGCTGACTGTAAAATAGACCATTCATTTAATGTCTATGGAAATTCTCCATCATTCAGGTCACGGTTATCCCATCAGCTCTAGCTAGATGGTGGGGAAAGTAAGGATTTATACTCCATGTGGACAGCTGGTCATTTGCATCCTTTTAGAGAGCCATTGAGGCCACCTAGCTAAGTGTCTATGGAGATTGTCAGCCATCCAGATCATAGTTGTCCCAAAGATGCTTTTGTTTTTTCAAGAGGCAACTTGGACTTTCTTGGGTTTTTTTTTTTTTTTTTGAAGACGTTTCACTTCTCATCCAAGAAGCTTCTTCAGCTCTGACTTTCCCTTCCCCACCATCCTGTCAGAGCTGGAGAAGCTTCTTGGAGGAGAAGTGAAACGTCTTCAAAGAAAAAGCAGAAAGTCCAGTTGAAAAGGCGCCTTTGGGAAGACCGTTCTGAACGTTTTGCTAGCAGAAACAGATTTTGCATCTGTTAGAGGCTGAACCACTCCAGAACGTTATGGCTGGTCCATTTCGAGGATGGAACAGCCTAATTTTGGAGTGAGTCATTCTGCAGTTCAGACATTTTGCCCACAGTTAGTAGTGAGAGAAGTCTGTCAAAGGGACTTTGCAACTTCTGCAGGACAAGGACAGAGTTATTAATGAGAAACGGTGGGCTTCTGATACAAGACGACAAAGGAGGAAGGACTTAACGAGGGGAATTGACCTTTTTTCTCTCTCTCTCTTCTGTCCATCTCTCCTGCAGGGGTGGACGGCTCCATGTTTGAGGTCCTGCCTCAGTCTGCAGACCTACCTGATCTGCAACACTGCCGGGCCTGCGCAGATCGCTGGAAACCTTGCATCTGCAGCTACGCCTTGAACATCGAGTGGTATCCCTGCATGCTGAAGTATTGCAAGAGCCGAGATTCGGCTGGAAAGACAACCTCTTACAAGTGTGGCATCCGCAGCTGCCAGAAGGCCTACAGTTTTGATTACTACGTGCCCCAGAAGCAGCTCTGCCTTTGGGATGAAGACACTTAGCAGGACAGACGAGCAGCCATCTTGTTTTTTGGGGCTGGGAGAACTTCACCTCGACCTTCCTTCCTGGAGCTCTGGGCAGGACTACCAAGGTGGCCACCTGGGACTGAAAGGAGGAAGGGGAAGGGCATAGAGGGAGGGAAGGAGGGAAAACCCCCGTGAGATGCCTCCTAACAATGTTTTGAAAGGAGTCTCTTCCTCTTCGCCTATAGAAGGAGGCACCTTCAGATTTACAGGCAGAGACCACAATCAATGGGATGTTATCGAAAGAAAGATGAGGAACATCAAAATGAAGACGGTTCTCCATCTCAACTTGACTTTTGAAGCTTCTTGACCACCATGAGATTTGTGCCTGCTTCTTTTTTTTTCCATAATGAAGACAGAGAGGATAGATGTCCTTCTTGGACAATCTCCTAGAAAGGATTAGACACCAGGTCGGTAGCAGAAGGGATAGAAGATCTTCTGGAAAAAGCTCGTGAGCTTCCAGAATGTTCTGCGGTTGATACCTGGAGCCACCAGAAAGAGGAAACTTAAAGCCATGAGGACGTCGGAATCTGGAAGGGCTGATATTTCATTTTATGCAAGAATGGGAGATTATTTGAGAAGGCTGTAGGACGGCTGGTCTCTTACAACCAATTGTCAGTTACCGCTGTACCATGTTCTCCCAGTGACCAATATCTAGGGATAATGCCATCCCTGGCCAACTTTGACGACGGCAGTTTGCCAAAATGCCTCTGATATATATGCTGCATAATCATTCTGGGTGGATCACCCAGCCCAGCTCTTGATCTCGATTGGCTCTTTAACACTGGAGGAGGTGGGCGTAGAGATCTCTGGCTTCTTAAGGGTGCCAATTCCTTTTTTTTTCTTTCCCCTTATCGCTCTGCCTTAATAAGAGATTGTACCCACCTCGCTTCCAGGGACCGAAGATTGCAGACAATCAGATCCATTTAAAGAGGGATCCCTAAGCCCTTCCTGGCTGGGACGTCCCAGTAGCTTCCTTTTCTCCTGATTAGAAAGTCAAATGCTTGTTTTACTCTCTAATCTGTTTCTGTACCTCCTTCTCCCACAAAATGGTGATTGGACAGAGCAATGCAGTGTGTGTGTATGAGAGAGAGAGAGAATATAATATTAAAGTAAAGGGAGCCACAATATGTCAAAATATTAACGCCCCAAATATTGCAGAAAAAGTAGCAGAATGTTTGGGTTACAGAAATGGACAAGATATCCAGATACAAAGTGGTAAAGCAGAAGTGTGATGTTGTGTACAGTCAGTTCACACCTGGCTCTCAGTTAAGACTTTGAGGACCCATAGAAGGAGCCATGGTACAGATGCACACCAAACCCATCGTAGCGGCAACGCTAAGGGCCTGGTGCAGTTGTTTTTCCTGCTCTCCCAACCATCTCCATGCCTCCATTGGTGCTATCATTGCATAAAAATGGTGGCAAACCAGGACATCAGGATTGTGTGTTTCTACAACGCAATAAACTAGGCCCGAGTCTTTTGTGAGTCATTGTGTTGTGGGATCACCACCAAGCATGAAGTTCATATTGGGGTTCAGACCTTACATTGAGGGATTTTGCTGACTTGGGCTTAGGGTATTGTAGAGCCCATCAGTTGAGTTGGTTAATTCCGTAATTGTGGTGCAAAGAAAGACAACAAAATGTGACAAAAAGTTGTTGCTTTCCAGAGAACAGTCACAGGTTCCCACACACTTTTGGACGTGCAGGAATTCAAGAACAGGCCGTTCTTATCACCCTATATTTGCAGTGATGCAGAGAACATTCCCTGTTGGATTTCTGCCTGCCTTGCAGTGGCTTCTTTTCTTGTTTCTTTTTGTTTTTAAAAAGGGGGATTTATTCTGAATCCACTGTAGATCTGTTATGGTTATTTAGCTTCCTTCCATTTCTTCCCTCTGTAATCTGGGCATTTTGGACTGCTGACCTTCACGCCTTAAGAATCCTCTTTTAAAAGATAACATTTATCTGTCTATTTCCTAGAATTGTGTGGGTGTGAGAGAGAGTGAGCTGTGCAGTTGCAATTTGTGTTTTTGATTGGAGTTCCTTGGGCGCTCTTAAAAAAATAATGACCACAGGAAATGAAATAAATGTAAATGTGAATGAAAGGTGTGTTATTTTTTCCCAAACAAATTATTTATGATATGTAAGCTGAATAAACTGATTTTCCAAAAAAAAAAATTAATAAGAAGTTTATGGGTTTGGACAAAAGAATTGTATAAAAATTGCCCAGAGCTCTGAAATCAGAACACTGAGAGCTAGCTCCTTGCCAACTTCTTTCCTCCTTACTCGTTTATATTCAAATTGGGGAAAGAATATTAGCTTTCGGTTTTTTCTTTCCAAAGTAGGAATTCAGTTGGAAAAGAACAAAAGGGTTGATTTATTAATAAAAGTGCCTACATTACAGTGTGTCTCAATCTTGGCTTCTTCAATTGGACTTCAACTGCCAGCCGTTTTGGGAATTGTGGACTTTGATTCCCAGAATCGCTGGCTGGGGAATTCTGGGAATTGAAGTCCACAGGTCTTAAAGTGGCCACGGTTGAGAAACACCGATTTAAAGGTTGCTCATTAAGGTTGCTTTCATTGCACCATCTACTCCACCCGCAGCTCTTAATTAATTGACTGGGGAATCTGAGAAGGCCCAGAATGATGAAATGTCACTCATATCCTCCTTCACTTCCACCAGTAAAGCAAAGTCAAAATCACTGCCAAGAGGTCAATGGAGATTCTCAATCCTCCAGGTCAGGGGTCTCCAACCTTGGCAACTTTGAAGACTTGTGGACTTCAACTCCCAGAATTCCTCAGCTGGCTTGTACCTGTGTGATAGAAACACGGGTATCTTTTGTACAAGGGAGAGAAAAAATTACTCAATTTCTTTCAAGGCCTGTTTGAATGCACCTTTCGATCTTGCTGGTGTCCGTTGAATATATAGAATATACGAAGATACAGATTAACAGAGCTGGAAGGGACCTTGTAGGTCATCTAGTCCAACCCCCCACCCAAGCAGGAGACGCTACACCATTTCTGACAGACGACAGTCCAATCTTTTCTTGAAAGTCTCAAGTGATGGCGCTCCCACAACTTCCAAAGGCAACTTCTGTTCCATTGGTTGATTGTCCTCACTGTCAGGAAATCTCTCCGTAGGTTGAAATCTCTCTTCTAGGTTGAATCAATCAGAATAAAGCTGGAAGGGACCTTGTAGGTCATCTAGCTCGACTCCTACCCAAACAGGATACCCCACACCATTCCTGACAGATGACAGTCCAATCTCTCTTGAAAGCTTCCAGTGATGGCGCTCCCACAACTTCTGAATAACAGAATAATAACAAAATAACAGAGTTGGAAAAGACCTTGTAGGTCATCTAGTCCAACCTCCCTGCCCAAGCAGGAGGTCCTTCACCATTTCTGACAGATGGCAGTCCAGTCTCTTCTTGAAAGCCTCCAGTGATGAAGCTCCTACAACTTCTGAAGGCAACTTCTGTTCCCTTGGTTGATTGCTCTCCCTGTCAGAAAATTCCTCCTTATTTCTGTGTTGAATCTCTCCTTGTTCAGCTTCCATCCATTGTTCCTTCTCTGGCTTTTGGGTGCCTTGGAAAATAGCTTGACCCCTTTCTCCTCTCTGTGGCAGCTCCTCAAATATTGGAAGGCTGCTATCCTGTCTCCCCTGGTGCTTCTCTTCCCTAGACTAGCCAGTTGGATCCTAACAGAATAACAGAGTTGGAAGGGACCTTGTGGGGCATCTAGTCCAACCCCCCCTCCCAAGCAGGAGACCATAAACCATTTCTGACAGATGGCAGTCCAGTCTCTTCTTGAAAGCCTCCAGTGATGAAGCTCCTACAACTTCTGAAGGCAACTTCTGTTCCCTTGGTTGATTGCTCTCACTGTCAGAAAGTTTTTCCTTATTTCCAGGTTGAATCTCTCCTTGTTCAGTTTCTATCCATTGTTCCTTCTCTGGCCTTCGGGTGCTTTAGAAAATTGCTTGACCTCTTCCTCCTCCTCTCTGGGGCAGCCCCTCAAATATTGGAAGGCCGCTCTCCTGTCTCCCCTGGTCCTTCTCTTCCCTAGACTAGCCAGGCCCAGTTCCTGCAGCTGTTCATCGTATATTTTAGCCTCCAGTCCCCTCATCATTTCGGTGATTAGATGATAGGTGATAGATTAGATAGATTAGGTGATAGGTGATAGATACCCCACTGTCATAAATTAATTGCTCCTATAGAAGAAAGGGAGAAGGAATATATCTCATCCTCTTTTTTTCACAAGAGTTTCTTTACGTTGAAACGGAGTACTGTGGTACCAGAGGCAGCTGACACTAATCTAAAAAAAAAAATTAAAAAAAGGACCACCATGCAATCCCTCTCTATAGTGCCATGCAAATTAAGATGTACCTCTAATTGGTTGCAGCCTGGGAAATTGATTGATAAGGGCAGCATTCTATGTGTCGGTAAGGTCATATATGGGGTGAATTCTTTGGGGTAATGAGATGGAACTCAAGAAACAACTGTCCACTGAGAGAACAAAGGGGGTATTCTATGAACATAGTTGGTCCTTAATTATGGGGTTTATCTTAAACGGGTCTTGATTCCCAGTGGCGATGGTCCCCTCCTTGTATTTTCTCCTGGTTTTCTCCTGGTTTTTTTTTTTTTTCCTCTTGGCTTTCTCAATGTTTTATGACTGACTGAGTTTATTGTTCCTTTGGTCCCTGGGAAGGTAATTAGAAGAAGGAAGCCCTTTTTTTTGTTTTTGCTTTATGATGATAATAATTTATCAAATTGTATACTTGTCTGACTCTCCAGAGTTCTGGGTGACTCACGACAATGAAAGAAACAACAGTAAAATAAGAGTTTATTTCACTTGCTCTGAGTAGCACCATTCTTGATCCTGTGACACCGCAAATAAATTCATCTTAAAGCAGGATGAATGTGAATCCAGCGAAGTCTTTAGCTTCCAGTACTTAAAGATTCTCAGAGGAATTACCTAACATGTCCTGAAAATCACCAAGGGACAAAAAACTGTCTAGGGGTGATGTGACATCATAGCGGTGTTTCAATATTGGAGGGGCTGCCAAAGAGAAGCGGGGATAAACCTATTTTTCAAAGCACCAAAAGGCAGGACAAGAAGCAATGAAGGGAAACTAATCAAGGAGAGAAGCAACCTAGAACTAAGGAGAAATTTCCTGACAGTCCGAACAATTAACCAGTGGAACTCCTTGCCTCCAGAAATTGTAAATGCTCCAACACTGGAAGTTTTTAAGAAGAGATTGGACAACCATTTGTCTGAAGTGGTATAGGGCTTCCTGGTTGAGCAAGGGGTTGGACTAGAAGACCTCCATGGTCCCTCCCAACTCTGTTATCCTTTTACAATTCTTCAAATGATTAAAAACGGAGTCTGGAGATATTGACCTGGAGTGATTCTTCAAAAGACCACAAGAGGACACTCTAAATCCATCCTATGATAAGGAAGTCCTAGACACCAATGGAGAAAAAGGGAAAGTTGCATGAAAAAAAATATCTACATATTCAAATTTCCCATCTTTTTCTTACTAAGAGGGGGATTAAAGGCGATAGTTATGCAATGGATTGCATTCCTGCAAAAACACATCCAGTTTTGAAAGAAGCAACGGATGGAAGCTAATCAAGGAGAGAAGCAACCTAGAACTAAGGAGACATTTCCTGACAGGGAGAACAATCAATCAGTGGAACAACTCACCTCCAGAAGTTGCAAAAGCTCCAACACTGGAAGTTTTTAAGAAGAGATTGGATAACCATTTGTCTGAAGTGGTGTAGGGTTTTCTGCTTGAGAGGGGGTTGGACTAGAAGACCTCCAAGGCCCTTTCTTAACTCTGTTATTCTGTTAAAAGGCTTAAGGAGGTTTTGGCCTCTAAAGTTTGCATATTCTCACAATGGACCTTCAGGTGGAACTCTCGAACACAAAAGGCAGAATTGATTCTCCCAGCCCCGCAAATATCCTAAACTCCCTATGACTTTAGAGGAAATAAATTTTGAAATCTCCAATTTCAAAACTGAAGGTCCCTGGCAATTTGCATAAAGCTCACCCAAATAGATGGCTTTGCATGATTTGAATATAGTTTAAGGAGCTCCCTCTGTGCCCGTAATCCTTTGATCCACAGCAACTTTTCAGAATATGTCAGTTGTGGACAGTCTCTAAGAGAAGCAAAGTGGGGGGAGGGGAAATGTAGTGCCTCGGTTTCCCCAATGGGCAAGGGCAGATAATCAGCTTTAAGCAGAGATGGCACTTTTCAGAAATCCATTTAAAAATTCAGAGGAGAAACGCAGCTGAGGTAGCTCAGGACAAGGCGTGGGAGATACACCAAGGGCTTCTGCAAACATGAATGAGAGCAAAGTATATACACCATAGAGTCTCAGAAGGGACAAACAAAATAGGATTAAAATCACCAGGTCAAGTGTTAACCTGGAAAGTCTAATGTATATTTTCTGTTCTTCCTAAAAGAATATAATGTACCAATATTTCTAGCCCAGCGTTGACTTAACTGATAGACGAGAATATCTGTAGCTCAGGGTTGAACTGTAGAGCCCTTGGTGCTCTCTGAGCTGGATTATTTTCTTACAGATGTTTCATTACCCAATTAGGGAACATCATCGATGTTAGAAGGGAGTGGTGTGTGCAGGGAGGAGGAGGAGGAGGA